TATAGTGGTGAGTACCCGCGTCTGTCGATTACAATAACATATAACAAATAGTAAAGAAACAGCCATGATGGCTGAATTTAGTTGCTGGGGTGGGAATGGGTAGGGTCGTTTCGGAGGACTCCCCTAAGGCTGATGGTGGTAGTGGAAGTCGTATCGAGACACCCGCTTGGATGTGAGAGGCCGTAGAAAAACTCGCCTACGGGGCTCAGCTTCTGGATTGATACGTTTAGAGCTGTCAGATGGGTTTTGGCCGTACGGTTGAATCGATTCATTTCAGAAAAAGATCTGCATAATCATAACAGTAATTGTGATACTACTCATCATCATTCTCGTCATCATCATTTGGGTTGCGACGGCGAACGCAAGCACTCCGTCATTGCCTAAGGTGGACGTAGACCAGTCGTCTCAGAGTGGTAGAGTTAAGAACGACAAGGATGATGCGCATCAGCGTGTCATTAACGCCTTCTAACAGTGGTCGTACGGGTAGTGAAACATATCCGATCAAACTGGGTCTCTTTGATCGTAACACCTCGTGCAGCTCATTTTTTGGGCATTCTTTCGTCGTCTTCGGGATTGATCAATTCAGTTAAGCTACTACTAGAGTCGTTATCTATCAGTTGTTGTACTGTGCAAATGTCGCTTTATCAGTGATCAGGTGTTGTAATGTGATATGTTGTTGCGCAAGCCTTTCAATGTTGTGATTATCTTGTCCAGTGTTGTCATGTTGCATTCTAATACTAACTGCAAGATTTGCATAATTTTTTTCGTAGTTGGTGTATCGTCAAAATTTCTATGCACGAGAACATAGAAACTATTGTCTAGTCATTCATAGTCCGTTTCATTCGTTAAGCGACAGGACGACTTCGTTGCGACGCGTCAAAGCCGCGACGCGGCGGGGTCGTAATTGCGGTCTTGCTCAAACCGAATGAAATGGTTGACTATTTGTACGTGACTGTTCGTGAATGTGTAAGTACCCTGTGATGTGCATTTTTCGCAGGATCATAGTCCGATTAACAATTTCTTAGCTAACCATCGAATACTTCAATAAATTATTGATTTTCGCGCATCATGCTTATGTGAATTGTGTTGTGATCGTGAATGGTTCAGTGACCTCAGGTAATTTCCTACCATGTGAGGTTTAGGGCTCGTTGTCGCTTCGCGTTGCCCAATGTATTCGAAACTAAATGATTTGATCGCAAATGGCAAAGAGACAATGGCGCGAG